ACATTTTCTTTGTTTGGTCGAATATATGGTACATTTTCTAAATAAGTTTGTAAATAACGATAAGTATTAGATTAAATGAAATAGATTTTGCCATAAATAAAAAATGGTAATATAAAGAGAGGCATGAATATTATACTGTAATTTGTTGCCTACACATATGGTATTGTAATGAAATTAAATGTTTGCCACCAATGGCATTCTTCAACTATAAATAGTGATGTAAGATTGAAATTCTCATTGCACATCACCTCACATTCGAAACATACATTGAAAGTTATAAAAAAAAAATGAAGCCAATATTTTTCTTATGTTCTCTCATATTTGTTTTTTCCATTGTCCAAGCAACTTCATCAGTTGTATTGGAGAGCGACTGGAAGCCTATACCAAACCTGACCGACACACACATCATCGAGATCGTGGAATTTGCAATAAAATACATGGACAAGGCATTTCATGGAGCTGATCTAAAGTTGGTGAGTGTAGAAAAGGGCGAGTTTCATAATGATACAGATGGTGTTACTTATCATGTTGTTTTTAAGACATTTCAATATATTACAGAGATATACGAAGCAACAGTTTTAGAGGGGGCTAAGGGTGATTTGAGGGTTCTCTCCTGGAAGTGGGATGGAAAGGGACTGTAATGGCTAAAACATTTTATAGATATGTAATTATTCAATGAATAATAAAATTTGAGAGTTGCTAATCATCGCAACTCCGTAATTATTCAATGAATAATATAATCAATGCAATGGTTACTAGGCAGTAGTGGCCTGCGTCCTGAGAATGGTTTTGGGGTCGTTGTCCATTAACCCGTGGATGGAAGTGTGGAGTTCGAATATCTGGTGATTAGCTGACAAAATACCGATAACAGAATGTATGTATGCAATGTATAGCTTGTAAAGAGCCTCCACCATTTCCAAAGATCAACTACTGACTGTTGGAAATAAATTAATTTATTTCCTTATTCTACTTTGGTGGGCACGTTGCTTTTGGAAAGAGAAGGCTTTGGGTGATCTTTTAATTTGGAAAATGGAAGAGGACTTGTGGGTGGAGAGTAGGTGGCAGAGAATGTTTGAGAAAGGGAGCTCTTTCTTTATTGGCTTCTTTCTTTTTTTTTGCTCTGCTCTACATCAACGCCTAGCCCAAGCCTTTTATAGGCACTTCCAGTTACAAATATCACAGCCACCGCCTCATAATTGTTGCTTACAATTTTTCTCATTTTTCTAATCACAACTGTCAACAAACTTAATTTAATTCATACCTAACCACTTCTGGACTTCTCTAGCAAAATACCACGTTGGTATCTTCTGGGCTTTCCAATGGCGGTGTATGCAGATATTTTGTCATTTGAGAGGGCTATAAATACCCTCATGTTGTACCGTGTAATAGCTAAGTGTGCAGAGAAACAAGAAAGCAAATAAAAAGCTTCCTTTTCTGAAAAAGCTCTCTGCCTTCCACACACCTCAAAAACCCTCTGCCCAATCCAATTCCATTCCTCCAAATAACTAACAAAAATTTTCATTCCATATTTCTACACGTGCCATCCATAACCAATTCCCCAAGTCCTTTTGTCATAACCAGGCCCATCAAATTAAAAGGAAATAATTTATTTTATTTCCAACAAAGTGGTATCAGAGCCCGAGTTATTCTTAAGTATGCTCTGTGGTTGCAGCGTAGTCTGAACTTCCACATCAGAAAAGAATTTCTCGTGTTTTTGTTATCACGATTGTCCCATTGCCGAAAAATCTACTTTCCCCATTCAATTTCCCCACCTTACCAAAACCAATTATAAAAATTGGTGTATCCGTATGAAAGCCTTGCTGGGATCCCAAGATGCTTGGGATATTGTCGAAAAAGGCTACGAGATTCCCGTGGAGGATTCTCAGTTATCTCCTGCTGAAAAGGAGGTATTGAGAAAGAATCGAAAGAGTGATCAGAAAGCACTCACTCTCATTCATCAATGTCTTGATGAATCCATGTTCGATCAAATAGCAGATGCTACCACAGCGAAAGAAGCATGGGAAATTTTGCAAAAGGAAATGCAAGGCGTGGAACCAGTGAAGAAGGTTCGACTTCAGACACTCAGGGGAGATTTTGAAGCAATAAAAATGAAGGAAGGTGAATCTGTTTCAGATTACACCGCCCGTGTGAAGTCAGTCGTCAGCAAACTGAAGCAGTATGGGGAGAAAATTGAAGAGACCAAAGTGGTGGAGAAAATTCTACGGTCATTATTACCGAAGTTCGATTATGTGGTGGTGGCCATGGAGGAAGCAAAAGACGTGTCAAAAATGACCGTGGATGAAGTTATTGGTTCATTACAAGCCAGAGAGGAAAGACTAAATAAAAGAAATGAAGAATCGTCAGAGCAAGTGTTAGCTACAAAAGCTACCATTGAGGAGAAAGAAGGTGCTCGAGGAGGAGGTCAGTACAGAGGTCGAGGCAGAGGCAATTACAGAGGCAGAGGAAGAGGAAGAGCCCGAGGAGCATATCAAAGCAGAGATGGAGGAAATTTCACCACGAACTATGAAACGTCCACCAGAGGCAGAGGTCGTGGTCGTGGACGCGGAAGAGGAAGTTGGAGATCAAATGAAGGTCGTGATAAATCCAACGTTCAATGCTATAATTGCTCGAAGTACGAGCATTATGCATCGGAATGTTGGAGTCCGCCTAAAGAAGTGGAGGAGACAGCAAACAACGTGCAAGAAGAAGTCAAAGGCACATTGATGCTGTCACATCAAGGAGATGAAAAACCGAGAGACAACATGTGGTATCTGGATAATGCAGCAAGCAACCACATGTGTGGAAAAAGAAACATGTTCGTGGATATGGATGAATCAGTGAAAGGAAATGTCGTATTTGGAGACTCCTCGAAAGTTCCTATCAAAGGCAGAGGAACCATACTCATCCGGCTCAAGAATGGCTCACAACAATCTATCAGTGATGTGTACTATGTCCCAGACATGACTAGTAACATCCTGAGTTTGGGTCAGCTGATGGAGAAAAATTATGAAGTTGACATGGTGAATCGTCAACTGGAGCTGTTAAACGAGAAGAAGCAGTTGTTGGCCAGAGTCCCAATGTCGAGAAACAAAATGTTCACTCTGAACATTCAGACAGAAATGGCGAAGTGCTTGAAAGCATGTGTGAAGGACAATACATGGCTATGGCATCTGAGGTATGGCCATCTGAATTTTGGAGGCCTAAAGTTACTCGGTCAGAAGAAGATGGTGCATGGTCTACCAGTGATCAATCATCCAGACCAGTTGTGTGAAGGATGCTTAGTTGGGAAGCAATTCAGGGCAAGTTTCCCGAAGGAGTCCCTGTCACGAGCTAGAGCACCACTTGAGCTTGTCCATGCTGATCTCTGTGGACCGATCACCCCAACATCGTTCGGGAAGAATAAACACTTCCTATTGTTCATTGACGACTACAGTAGAAAGACATGGGTATACTTCTTGAGGCAGAAGTCAGATACATTTGAAGCTTTTAAGAAGTTCAAGATGATGGTGGAGAATGAAAGTGGCCGCTACATCAAAGCAATGAGATCAGATAGAGGGGGAGAATTTATGCTCAAGAAATTCAGAAGGTTCTGTGAATATCAAGGAATTCGTAGGTTTCTCACAGTCCCAAGATCCCCACAGAAAAATGGAGTTGTTGAGAGGAAGAACAGAACTGTATTCAACATGGCGAGAAGCATGATGAAGAGCAAGAACCTGCCAAAGGAGCTATGGGCTGAAGCTGTTGATTGTGCAGTCTACCTGCTGAATAGGTCGCCAACAAAGAGTGTTTGGAATCAAACACCCCAAGAAGCATGGAGCGGAAGGAAACCCACAATCTCTCACCTCCGAGTCTTCGGAAGTGTCGGATATGTGCACGTACCAGATCAAGAAAGAAAGAAGTTGGATGACAAAAGCAAGAAGTACATATTCCTGGGATACTCAGAACACTCAAAAGGTTACAAAATGTTTGATCCCGTGGAAGAAAAGTTGATCATCAGCAGAGACGTGGTAGTTGATGAAGAAGCAACATGGGACTGGACTACTGAAGCAAAGAAGAATTACACTTTTTATCCATTCACTATGGATGAAAGTGATGAGGAACCAGATACAGCTACACCTGTGACAAGTTCACCCAGTCACAGAGAGCCTGCTAGCCCAGAAGGAGAATCGAGTGAAAGCCCCCGAGAAAGGCCACAGAAGTATAGAAGACTTGAAGAAATTTATGAGGAAACAACAACCATTGAAGGTGATGAATTGACACTCTATTGTAATTTCATTGACAGTGAACCAGTTGATGTTGAAGAAGCCATGAAGGATGAAAAATGGAAGAAAGCCATGGATGAAGAAATTGGAGCAATTGTGAAGAACAAGACTTGGGAGCTTGTGTCGCTACCTGGGAATCAGAAACCCATCGGTGTGAAATGGGTATTCAAGGCCAAGAAAAATGCTAAAGGAGAAGTCGTCAGACACAAAGCAAGATTGGTGGCAAAAGGATACAGTCAGAGACCAGGCATTGACTATAATGAAGTTTTTGCTCCTGTAGCGAGAATGGAGAGTATCAGGATGGTGATATCTCTCGCTGCTCAAAATGGATGGAAGATACATCAGATGGATGTGAAGTTAGCTTTTCTGAATGGATATCTCGAGGAAGATATCTATATTGAGCAACCCCCTGGATATATCGTTGAAGGCCAAGAAGATAAGGTGTTGAAGCTGAAGAAATCACTATATGGTCTGAAACAAGCACCTAGAGCTTGGAATAGCAGGATTGACAAGTATTTTCAGCAGAATGGGTTCAGCAAATGCCCACATGAGCATGCACTATACTGCAAGGTGCAAGGGGAAGCAATCCTGTTGGTTTGTCTGTACGTAGATGATCTCGTCTTCACAGGCAACGATCCTCAAATGTTTGAAGAGTTCAAGAAGACGATGGTTCGTGAGTTCGAGATGACAGACATCGGACTAATGTCATACTATCTCGGAATTGAAGTAACTCAAAAGGAGGAAGGAATTTTTATCTCACAGAGTGGCTTCGCAAAGGAGGTCCTGAAGAAGTTTAAGATGGAGAGCTGTAATCCTGTGAGCACACCAGCAGAGTGCGGATTAAAGTTATCCAAGGATGATAAAGGAGAGAAGGTAAACTCAACGGAGTTTAGAAGTCTCGTGGGAAGTCTGAGATATCTGACTTGTACCAGACTAGATATTCTCTACGCAGTTGGATTGGTCAGCAGATACATGGAGGCGCCAACTATGTCACACTGGAACGCTGCCAAGAGGATACTGCGCTACATAAAAGGTACAATCGATCATGGTTTGCTTTATACTAAGTCAGAAAATTTCAAATTGGTTGGATACTGCGATAGTGATTGGGCAGGAGACGTGGATGATCGCAAGAGCACTACAGGATTTGTATTTTTCCTGGGAGATACAGCTTTTACATGGAGTTCAAAGAAGCAAGCTATCGTGACACTATCTACTTGTGAAGCTGAGTATGTTGCTGCGACATCGTGTGCGTGTCATGCGATATGGCTGAGAAAGTTACTGAATGAGTTGAATATGACACAAGAAGAGTCAACTGAGATTTATTTATTTATTTTATTTTAATAATTAAACTTTAATTTTCAACACTGACCTCAGTACTGGCCTAATAACAAATAAGAACAACGTGGACAAGTTTATTACCAAACACCCCACAATCGTCCCTATAACATTGGAACTGCAATTTATTTTTGGTGTAAGAAAGGAATGGGTAAGCATCTGCCTTTATAAGCAAAACTTCTAAGAAAGCAGTGCAAGCATAGATTATAATGTAGAAGACTCTTGGGCCCTTTGGTATGTGTTCCAAACATGGAGACTCCAAGGAAACCTTTGATGGATACATAACTCTAATCAGTGCGTGCACTACTGTTGCCAACATTCTAAAGCATACCATTGGTTTGCTGCTTTATTTTTGTGCATATGATAAGATATTTGCTGCTTGGTATGGTGACTGGAGCCAAATTCCCACTCTTGGTGGTCTAATACGCCCAAGCCTCTGCTCTTTGAATCCACCTAACCATCTGACACGCTAAAACACAACACCTAACAATGGCCAAGTGTAACCAATGAAAGGGACTGCAGTATAGTGGCACAAGTAATAAATATCGAATCCACGGGTCTCTAGAGTTACTATTACTCAGCTTCAGTTCATTATCTAGCAAACTAGATTAAGGATTGATCGATAAACTACTCTACTGACTACTCTACTAATTACAAGTTGGGAACTCACTTAGGTATGATTCCCCCTAGCTCCTCAATTAGGTCCAAGTTGCAATTACCTTTGGTTGATCTACTGTTGATTAAACTGCGGAAGATCCTAAATTAGCTTGGAATCTCTTAAGCTGACCAAGCCCTCTCAGTCCAACTACCTGGCAGACGACTAGTCTTCACCAGGATACAAAGCTGAGGCTATGAACACAGAACTCCACTACCGGAATTGGATTCCAGTACAAAGCAGTAGATTGACTAACTCTCGTATAACCAATTCACTACTATCAATCAAGGAAGCTCTCTTAACCTAATCAGATTCTATCTATCATAGGTTAAAGCAGAAATCAAGAGAATTTGATCAAGATTCAATTGACTCAATAAATCATGCCTCAATCGATTATAATCAAACAATAAAGCATCCAAAACTTCATACAAGAAAGATCCTAACCCATGGAACTAGGGTTCCTCAAAACCTAAGTGAAGGGAAGTTACTCCATAGAGAAGGGAGAGACTGCAGAAATCTGATCTAGATCTTCAATCTCCATCTCCAAGCTTGATTCCCGAGCTCCCATGGTGAAGAAATCCTCCAAAATAGCTCCAAGAATGTTCCCAAGTCGCTCTCTCTCTCTAGGGTTCGTCCCTTGGGTGTTTGGGATCCAAAACCCAGCTCTCTCTCTCCAAAAATCGCAAAACAGCTTTTATACCCGCTGAAACTCGCACCCCCTACTTGCACGGCCGTGCAAATTGAGGTTTTGGCCGTGCACAATTTCCAGCATGCACTCCTAAGCTTCGTTGATCTCGTTTGAGCTCGTTTGACCTCCGATTCAGTCGCCGTTTGATCCCAGACGCTCGTAGTCTCGTCCTCTTTCTTTTCATGAAAAGCTTGCATGATTCTTTGTCCATAAAGTGAGGTAGAAATCCATTCTTCTTCAGGTCATACCCGAGTTTCTTCTCCCGAATCGTCAATTGATCTCTGATTGACTTGAAACTTGCGCCTATGCTTCACTTTATGTGCTTGGACCTGAAATGTGAGAAAGGAACACAACCTAGCGTAAAATAGGCCAAAGACACGATAATTCAAGCTCAAACAATCAAGAAACAAAGGGGAAAACATGTGCAAATACCGAGTCATCAAATCCCCCCACACTTAACTGTTTGCTTGTCCCCAAGCAAACCTAACTCAAACCAATGCAACTCTCCAGAGCTCTATAGAAACATACAACCCCGATCGTCGGTAGAGGATTTCCTAGATCATATAGCAGCTTACGAGGTCAACTGGTCTTCTAAGACGTTCCCTATCTCTCTCAATGCGAGTACTAGACTCAAGCCAGGATCATGAGAAAAGTAGAAGTAAGACAGTCAGTTCATGGATAAAGGGACTCACACCATTCACAACCAAGGACTCGTTGTACCGGGGTGCTCTTTCACTTCATTTCACCGTTGGAACCCCTTTTTCTCACTTTCATTTACATTTTTCTCTTTTTTTTTTCCTTTCATTTGGTGGGGTTCCAACTGCAGTCTTTTGCACGGTCGACCCTTATTAGCCAAGCAAGAGCAATTTCTGTACATCTGGCGCTCGCCAGAGTACTTCTTTTAACTCCTTTTCCTCAACTCGTGTGGAGGGTCAATGAAATTAAGGGGGTTCGGAAGCTCTATCCGTGCCCTTAAAAACACATCCTCAAGTAGGCAAACCGCTCAACGGGTGGAGGTTTTACTTGTACTAGAGACAACTTAGCTTCACCTTGTAGGAGTACCCCACTAAGGATCACTAAAATCTCTTCCAAAACCCGATTTTGTGCAATGAACGGTGCCACACACGTTGGGCTTACCCCATGTTTAAGATTTAATGATTTTGACATGGAGGACCAACTGCTTCCCATTTTCCATATGAGCACCCTGTTCGATACACGAGTCCATAACACAATCCAAATAGAGTCACCATTACCACATGAATTCAACGGTCTTAGCTCCACTAATTCACAAAATCAACTGACACAGCAGAGAGCTAGATAGGAAAAATCTTATACTTCAACATCCTCCATAGTGCTACACTACCTCCCTAGGTTGCACATTACTATAGAGACTGTCAATTCAAAGCATACTGAGTAGGCAATTTGCAAGGAAACACGTACTTGGAGCCCTCAAATTTAAAAATTTGGACAGTGGACTGGGTTCCAAGCACACAAACAGCCAAACATTCACCCGCATACATAATCGAACACCCCCCCACACTTAAGCACGACATTGTCCTCAATGGAGGAAAGATAAGGAGGGTAGAACGAAGTTACCAGATCAAGGGTGAATGATGATGGACGGGGCAGGCGGTGCATTCCAGGAAGAGAGAGTAATCAGAACACAAACACCACACAAAATCTCACAAAGGTTGAGTTATTGACTCGAAAATCAAATAACAAAACTGACTCAACCGAGGAGAAATAGAGAAAGAAATGCAAACCGACTGGTTGGGTTGCCTCCCAACAAGCGCTTCTTTCACGTCGTAAGCCGGACGATGGCTCCTAAATTTCGGTCCATGCTAGAACCTCCTTGAAGTTGAGGTTCTCATCTATGAGGTGGAGTCGCAAGTCACGAGCATGTGGTATGACTGGTGATGGAAGCTCGTGCACTTGACGCAGATGAAGTCTCCACCCTCGAGACCTCTTCTTCTCTTCTCTCGTCTCATTGCCCCAAACCAGATAAGACAGCATCGATTGGCCACCATCGCGTCCACCAAGAGGGACCGATGTCGATGTGGCCTTGGTCTGGCAAAGAGACACTGCAAATGGGTCCTTGCCAAGCAGCTCCTCGAAGTTTGGTGGAGATATCACATGTAACTCATGGCCGGTGCAGGCCTCTTCCACCTTAACTCCGTCCTCAGCTTGGACGCCAATTTCTTCTTCAACCTCCCTTTCTTCTACATGTGGTATCACCCCTGGGAAATGATCAAGAACTCCTACTGCTTCACTTTCGTCATCCTCCACAACTTCTTTCTGCACCCTTTCTTGCTCTTCTTCTTCTAGCACGGATTGGAGAGCAAGTTGCCAAGCAATTTCTTTCATGAGATTTTCTTGCATCTCCTCACTCATGCCCGCCTCTTCAAAGCTCAGTTTGGGATGTGGGAAGGTGTGGTCGGCTACGACAGGATATTCCTGATCATGATCATCACGGGAGCTTTTCGTGAAAACTTCTGTTTGCTCCACAATATCCTTGTAGCCTTCGTCTTCCTCCTCCTCTTCTAGTATGATAGCAGAAGGGTGATCTTGAGCAGGTTGTGCATAAGCTTTCTCAAGATCCTCGAGGCTCTTCTTTATGCTCAGGAGGGTCTCCTCTGTTTCACGGTAGGAGAACCCAGTTTGGGCATTGTCTGGGATATCCATCTTTGGAAAGGATGTCTCAGGTACTCGAGCAATCTGCTCCACGAGAAGCCTCAAGTGATAGTTTGGATCTGGCTGATGGAGGAATTCTTCTTGATAAGGAGATTGTTCTTGAAATACCCAGGGGTCTGATTGTTCTTCGTAGGATGGGGGTTGGTACTGAAACCCGAATCCATAGCCTTCTCCTCCTTGATTGCTCCAGGGGGTCTCGGGGTAATACCACTCGGATGGTGGTGGATACCCCCAATGGTTGGAGAAGCCATGAGGATCCATGATTCAGATCTGCACCAACAAAAACAAAAACACCCAAGTGAAAAGCAAGGGTGGAAAAGAAAAGAAAAACGCTAAAGTAACAAACTTCTGCCTTTCCTAATAATCTAGAAAGTCCCCGGCAACGGCGCCAAAAACTTGACACGCTAAAACACAACACCTAACAATGGCCAAGTGTAACCAATGAAAGGGACTGCAGTATAGTGGCACAAGTAATAAATATCGAATCCACGGGTCTCTAGAGTTACTATTACTCAGCTTCATTTCATTATCTAGCAAACTAGATTAAGGATTGATTGAAAAACTACTCTACTGACTACTCTACTAATTACAAGTTGGGAACTCACTTAGGTATGATTCCCCCTAGCTCCTCAATTAGGTCCAAGTTGCAATTACCTTTGGTTGATCTACTGTTGATTAAACTGCGGAAGATCCTAAATTAGCTTGGAATCTCTTAAGCTGACCAAGCCCTCTCAGTCCAACTACCCGGCAGACGACTAGTCTTCACCAGGATACAAAGCTGAGGCTATGAACACAGAACTC